CACACACACACACATCTGCTGCTGCTCCACCTCTCGGTCCCAGTCAGTCGTTCTGAAACTGTTTTTCAGGAACACTGACGTCAGTGTCAGTGTCAGTGTCAGTGTCAGTGAACACGTTCTTCTTCACTGCACAAAACTTTTCATTCACAGAAATAAAAAAAATCAGGGATGTCTGATATTCTCGCCCTGATATTTAGCATAATTACGCAATATCTGTAAAAAAAAAATCGGTTTTTCCACAGATAAAAAGATTATACAGATAAACAAATAAATATTGGGCAGGGGGGGGGGTACTACCTGGACACTGTGTTTGTCATAATAAACTCTTAATAAATTACAACTCACAAGCATTTAAACCTGTGTAACCCCACCATGTACCACTGGGGGTCTGTAAACCCCAGATTGGGAAGCTCAGAAATAACATCCATTCAGGAAGCTGGTTTAGCCTTGTGTGTGTGTGTGTGTGTGTGTGTGTGTGTGTGTGTGTGTGTACATCAGTGACCTCAGACTCAGAGAGAGTCTGTCTGGTGTTTTTAACCTGACCACAGTTGAAACCCAGAGCTGGTTCTGACTCAGACTCTATTTCTGAACCTGACTGACAAACACAGACGGAGCCGAGAGAGAGAGAGAGAGAGAGAGAGAGAGAGAGAGAGAGAGACAAAGACAAAAATGTTCCCATGGTAACACAGACCAGAACATCTCAGCTGTGGACCGAGGACGAAGATCTGGTTAGACCTAATAAAGACCACACACACACACACACACACCGACACACACACACTGTAGATGTGACTTTTTGACCACACAGTCCATTGAGAACAACAACAACAAGTGGGGGGAGGGGAGGGGGGTGTAAAACTCTAATCTCTCTTAGCGAACCAAAATGTAACATGAATAAATATGAGAGGGCATTTGTTTTGGTCACATGACCTTCAGCCCGCCCCCCCCCCACAGCCCTGTCTGCAGGAGCCAAAGCCAACAACACGACAGATAGAATACTTGATAAAAGGCTTCTATTTTTATGTTGCTCCTGTGTCGCATGTGACGACCGAGAGGAATCATCAAAGATTCATCGGCGCTGACGACGGAACCGTTCCCCGAGGGTGGTGTTCAGGTTGAAGACCCCGGGTTTCACTGCTCGCTCCAACAGCAGGAGGTGGCAGTACTGATAACCAGGGAGAGTATGTTTAAATATATATTTATATATGTCATTAACCAAATGACATATACCATACATATAACCAATAACCAAACTACAGCTGGTACTTTAACACCCTAAAAACACATTTACTAGAACTAAATTCCCTAATTACTGGCACACTGATAACACACTCTAGTCCAGTAGGTGGCAGTAATGTACCTAAAGCACAGGATGCAATGAGTGATGTTAGCGCAGAAGTAACAGTGACATCTGGCAGAAAATATTTGTTCTCAAATACTTTCATGATATCAGCTAAGATTAGATCATGGTTGGATGTAAATAGTTCAACAATGAGTACTTTTATGACTGCAGTATTCCGTGTCTACCACATGTTGTTGTGAGCACAGACCAGAGCTAACGTTAGCTCCAACAGTCCTGGTACAAAGACCAGAGCTAACGTTAGCTACAACAGTCCTGGTACAGACACCAGAGCTAACGTTAGCTACAACAGTCCTGGTACAGAGACTGATGGTTTAACAACAAATACCATGTGAGTCAAAGTGACAAATGAATTTGTTTCAATTTCGTTTCAACAACTTCTCAGATATTACTTCATTTGACAACTTATACTCAAATACTTGCTTCAATGTAGTAGTTCTCAGACCTTTCACACCACATACATCTCTGGCAAATATTTCTACCTCCCAGTATCATAAAATCCAAATTACTTCATTGATACTACAATTGATACTTCACTGCTGCAGTTCAAAAAAAAAAAATAGAAAAAAGAGGGAGCCCTAGTACCACCACTGGTAGATGAGCCATAGTTTGAGACACCCTGCTTCACTATATTTTATATGTAATATACAGGAACAAAATATGCACAAAAAAAATAAAATTATAACATTAAAAAAATAGTTAAGTCACAAAACACCATCAAGTGCAACATATATTTGACTTTTTTCACATATCACGTAAATGTTTTTTATACTATGCGTTGTCATATTTATTATTACATTGTCATTTTAACAGTTATCAAGATGGAAGCAATCGTTTTCAAAATAAAAAACACCGCAGATTGATGTGAATTAATAAATTAAAAATTGAAAAAAATCAAAATAAATACGTCTTAATCTTTCTGTGCGACCTGGTTCTAGTCCCCGGCCCAGTGGTTGGGGGTCACTGAAGTATACCTTGCATTACACCTTACTGTCAGCTGTGCAGAGAATATTTTTTTACTGCCAAAAGGACAAACACAAAAATGTCTTCAGCACACATTTACGGTTTCTACAGTGACCAGTCGACGTAGTGTTTCAGGACCAGGAGCAACTTTCATTAGAACGGACACAGTGTAACGTGAACAGGATTATGACACGATGTCAACATTAATGATCATTAAAATTAATAACGACCAAAACAATCCTGAGAAGTATCATTATATAGACAATATTACAGTGTCGAAAATATGTTATATATGTGTTTTATTTATTGATATATATATGTATATGTGTATATATGTAGATATATATGTATATATATGCACATATATATATAAATATATGTTACCTATCCATCTATCTACCTGTGTCATCATCATTACATTACACTGTGCTTTGTTGTCATCTTGCAGATGGAACCTGAGCTGCATCTCAACGATCTGCACTGACAACAGACTAAAGCCTGACTTCAGTCCATGTCACAAATAAATAAATACATTTAATATATATATATATATACAAGTACTATAAAAACACAACATCCATTTACTTTCAGTTTTTTGTCTTAACCTCCCTATTTTAAAACCCTATTATAAGGCCGTACAGTTTTATTTATTTCTCCTTTTGGGTCTGTAGAGACACCAGACATTCACTGTACAAATATAAGACATTGAATGATGTCACAGGAAGCTTGGATTTATTCTGTCATTTCTTCATATACTTCCAGCACCAGGCTCAGAGGAGTCCACAACACTGTATTACAGTATGTCAGTTGACTTTATTGTTCCAGATGTCATTCCACTGACATGTGGGCAGCAGCTCTGCATCATCAGCATCAGCACCATCATCATGTTCGCGGTCGGTGCCCGCGTCCCTCTCCCCTTGCGCGGCACGCGGACGTCGAGCATCCATGCGGTCAGAGAGGAGGTGGTGGTGGTGGTGGTGGTGGTGGAGGAGAAGCAGCGTTCTCCTTCTTCTCCGTCTTCATCAATCATCCCTCGGACCCCGGGGCCACTGCTCGGCTGCAGCAGCGCACGTTTGGGAGCCATTGGTCTGCCAATTAATCCAGATTGGGAATCATCTAACGGCGGCGCAGCTGTGGAGAGAGGCAGCCCATCAACGCGCACCCGGTGCGGACAAGCGCGGCTGAGCTCTCCATGAGCCCCGCTGGAGCTTCAGGGCTCTCGGATCAGACCCACGGAGCTGTTGTTGTCCCGGTGTTTCTCCTCCTGGTCGCTCCTCTGTGGTTCTCTCTCTCTCTCTCTCTGTGTGTGATAGTCCTCACTGCTGCGTCCGCAGAGCGCGTTCCATCTCCGCTGCCATCTGCGTCAATCCCCGATTGCAACACCGGAACTCGAGCAGCCGCCGGTGCCTTCAAAATAAAAGCACCACAGCTACTGTACCTGGAAGTGGATTGGTGGTTTACGTGCTGAGCTAAAACACACGTATTCGCGAGTTCTGGCTGGAACGTTTGCGCCACCTCCTGGTATCCAGGGCGTAAAAACATACAGCATAAGACTGTGATAGTTTTGTACAAGTGAAGGATTTAAAAAAAAAAACTTTTAAATAAATTGGAAAAAGTCTGAAGAGTTCACGAACGATTTCACTCTTGGCTTTAAGGCGTCTTTTCACTGTTATCAGACAATGGTAAAGTCCCCCGTTAGCCATTTAGCTCTAAATAGCTAACATCAACGGAGGCGTTCATCGGTCGCTAACTCACCGCCACAGCCTTCCGGCTCCAGCTTCCAGCTCGGCACATTTACTTCCGAAATTGTTTTGATATGTCCTTTTTAAGACACTGCTCGTTGCTTTCAATGCGGCTCGTAAATCCATTAGTTCCACTTGACTTTAAGTTTGTGTTTGGACAGGCTGAAACGCGGGAACCATTAACCGTCACTTCCAGTCACGTGATTGCAGCCGTTTATATTCACGAGCGTCAGCGAATTAGAATAGCTCGTGGTGATTTGAATCGTATTTTAAAGATAATAATAATTACTTGGGAAAAGAATTATTAACAATTCTAATCAATGACTAGAGTTGGAAAAAAAAAAGCTAGCTTCGGAAGAAGCGGTAGATCACCACCTCACGTCCCTTCCACCCCAAACACACACACACAGTGACTTTGTGATTCGGCCAATGAAAAGAGGAAATAAAAATAGGCATTTATTTGTCAGGAACAGGTCATTAAGAAGTCCCAAAGAAGCTGCCAACCACCAGGGGCGCCTAAACGGGTTTTATGTTACGATCCCATGAAGAAAACGTGTTCAGCCACTGGTTCAAGAAATTACAGTATACTACCCCGAATGGAATTTGGGCTCCCTCTAGAGGTACAAAGGAGAATCGTATGCCTATTAGGATAAGTGTTTTCTAGTTTTAAATATACGTTTTATTTATTCTAACCAATAGTTTTTAGTGGAGGTCCGTTGTTGTAATCCTATTGAGGATAAATTCTATTTTTATTTTTATTTAGTTTGGTTAAACAGTGTCGGCCTGTAATAACAGACAACTAAGAAAATATTTTTCAGTTTGAGAATCGCCGTTTTAATCTCGATAAAGTCGTCAATTGTGGTGCAGATACCCATCAACGTCATATCTGCTGTGGAGGTTTGGTTGGAAAAAAAAATGTCCTCAGAGAAAACATGTGCTTTGCAGTTTGAATGCTTTATTTCCTGTATGTATGCATACTGCAGTAAAGTAGCAAGAACTAAAAGCAAACTAGAAAGGACTACAAAATACAACACACGGACCAATACATTTACAAAACATTCAAAACGTTACAAAATGGGCTGTATTGGTCCTTCCATAAGTTGTTCTTCAATTTGGAACTTTGTACAAATCGTCAGGAAACGATGTCGCCGTCGCCTTTCTGCTCAATTTTACAGGTGCCAGAGAGCGAGCGAGCAAGATGTAAAGAGAGAGACAGACTTCCAGAGCCGGTCACAAATGGACGAACCATCTCCGCCCACCGACCGACACACCCACCCACCAACAGTAGACCTCCACCCAACCCAATCTGACGGACTAGACCACGTCTTCCTGTCCCACTTGGGGAATGAAAATGAATCAAAAATCATAGAAGCAGGCTGATTTTTTTTCTCTCTTCAGTTACCTATCATTCAGCCAAAAAAAAGGAAAACAAAACAACAACAAAAAGTTGTGTGGGAGGAAAGCAAACCAAAGACTTTGGTAGTGAGTGAAAATACATGTCTTTACATGTCAGGATACATTTTATTTGACATGTGAACTGTTCACTTATTTACTCTGCCGTTCTCCCTTTTTTTTTTTTTCAATATTTACATCAAAGCATCAAAAAAGTATATTAAACAGCGTGTCCCAACCCATTCTCTCCGTCTCTATTCAGCCCAGCAGGGATCAACAAAAATCAAAATCCTCAAGATCCGTGAGCAGTAGTCCTTTAAATCCACATTTCAAACGACCGTAGTTGCCAGTTTATCCAGTGCCGACAGTAAAGAGAGGAGGTGTGAAGGTGTGGTGGTGCGAGAGGGGGCGGGTCCGGGCCACGGCGGCATCTCTCCCGAAGGGTTGTGAGCTGGCTGGTGGGGTGAGCTAGCTGGCACCGGTGCCTTCCATCACCTGCTGGGCCTGTTTCTGTCCCATGCAGCACTGGGCTACGGACTGGAACAGCCTGAATAGAGGAGGAGGAATTACACGGTAATACACTACAATATTCACTTACACGTACATGACACTGATCTCTGTTTAGATTCCCGTTTAACTTCCTGCTTAGTTTTCTTCTTCAAAAGTCTTTGACTATGGACTGGACAAAAATGGATGTTGGACAAAATTAACACTGCTTCAAACCAGAGGCATTTCTTGACACAAGGACTTGGTGAAAAGCTTGCTGGTTAAACACCCAGCTTCCCGACTCTTGCTACACAGAAACGAGTCAAAAGTTCCAGAAACGTACTTTTCAATCTCGGGGGCACAGTGCACAAAGTCATGGCTCCAGAACTTGAAGGCAGGATTTTTAATCAGCTCGATGAAGGTGATGAGGAGACCCCACGGGTGAGGCCTGTTCACAATCAGCCTCTCCAACAGAACCCTACAAAGACAAAGACCGTCGACCGTGAGCATTTGACCTCAAACCCAGAACACACCCATGGTCTCCCCACTGTGAGACAAAGACTCACCTGGTGATCTGCTCCTGGATGGCCTCGGTGTTGGCCTCAGCGAACAGGTAGAGCATGGTGCAGCTGAAGTAGTGGGTGTGGCTGTTGGGGTAGCGCAGCTGATTGGCGATAGCGTTCAGGAACAAGTAACGTCCTGAGAAGACGAGACAGAAGGAATGTCACAACAAAATTCACGACGACTAACACTGCAGTAAACATAACAGTTAGGTCTGCAAATCACAGCCCTTAGTCATTTTGGGGAAAAACGTCTACAACAGTACAACTGTCACCGCCAATAAAAGTGGAGGCAATTGTAATACTGCCAATGTCCACATGGCAAACATAAATCCAAAGAGTGTTTATAGTTTTTCTTCACATTCACTTTGATAGTTGGGAGCAAAAAAAATGACCTCAACCAATCACAGGGATTTATTTTGTCATTTCCTCACCCTCAGTATCCAGGTCCACAGCCAGGTTCTGGAAAATGTCCATGTGTGCAGAGTGAGTGATGGTGCTCATGGAGGGGGTGCTGCCCTTGTTGTGGATGTGAGCGATGGCCTGAGTTCCCACATACAGAACCAAAGCATTGATCAACTGGATGTTGTATCGGTTCCCCGGCTCATTTGACACCTGAGAAATAAACAAACAAATAAATGAATAAAAACAGAAATCATGGATAAACATGTAAATTGTACAAAGTTTTTTTTTGTTAAACTAAGACACGTCAGCATTGATCGTACCTGCAGGTTGCTGCGCAGCTCAGATAAGAAAGTGACTGGTGATCGCGTCTTCAGGTACGAGTCCAGGTCCTTCTTGAACTGAGACGGCATGACGCCCGTGAAGTTGGTGAGTATACGGGGAGCAATGTTGATCTCGCTCAGCATGTCCACCTGCAGAGGGCAGTGTTGATGAGAAACACTTAGTCAGGGAATGTCCGAAAAAAAGAAAAGGGACAAAATGTTACTCTTGTTGTGCAAGTGTGAGACACCAAACAAACCTCTACCTTCAGATTGGGTGTGAAGGGATCAGGGAGCCTCATGTTCCGTGGGAAGGCACTGAGGATGAGGTTGCGGAGTTGGATGCAGTTGGGCGGAATGACATCACAGAAGCCGTAATGATAGTCGCACAGGAACTCTGGGAAGTCATGCAGCAGAACCAGAAGCACTCGCAGTGTACCCTGGAACCAAAAAAAAACAAAAGTGTGACTCAAAAGAGAATACTAGAAATCAGGGGGGAATTGTTAACATTGTGGCAGCCCTGCAGAGTGTGTGTGAGACAAATATTGCCAAAGGCGATGTACAAGAGCAACAATGTTGTCATTTACCTTATAGAGGATTTGCATAGGTTTGTTCAGCTCTACATTCCTCAGGAACGGTGCCAAGTACTTGAAGAGATCAATCAGCAGTTGTGCGTACATGGGCCAACCCTGCCAGACAACACAGAGTCCAGAAAAACACGGTTCAAACACGGTGAGGCAGAGGTGTGAGATCGTAGAAACAAGTAGACATTGTATAAACTACGGCTCTTCTGGAGCGTACCTTCTGCTGCGGTGTGTGTGCTAACATCCTGGCAATGAAGATGCGATGGGAGATGAGCTCCAGCCAGGCATCCACAAACCCTGGTGCTTTGGAGGGTCTCAGCATGTGGACGGTATTGTCGCAGCTGGAGAGAAGAACACAGGCGAAAGAATGTTTAAAATCACATTGTTTTTATCTGATTATTGAACAGCATTTGTGGCGTAAATCGTCCATCCGTTCAATCAATCCGTTCCTTCGGACAGACACGTCTGTATGAACCCTGCGGATGTCTTACCAGAAGGCGGTGAGGGTCTGGAAGTTGATGGTCTCCAGGACATGTTCGGGAGCATTGAGCTCCAGAAGCAGCATGATGAAAATACGATGGTACGGAAGCTGCTGAAACTCTGTCTGGCGCACGTCGTGGTCTTGGATCAACACACCAACGACGATACCTAGCACCTACAAAAAGAGAGTCGTGTTTTCAACCTGGTCTCTTCCAGTGAACATCTCAGCATCTTCAGCTCCTCCAGCTTCTGTACACTCGTCTCCACCCTGACTCCACCCTTTACTTCACATCTTCTGTCCATTACTCTAGATGATATTATTTAAGGTCCACCTTTACCACCAGCACATCTCGAGGGTCCATCACAGCATGTCATTCTTGTTTACATTCATGTATTAGAGCCTGATGATTGAGGTTAAATATAGTGGAGAGAAATCCTGATTCCAAACCTTGTTGAGGAGGTTAATCTTTGTGACGGTATTGGTGGCCTCTCCAGAGTGTTTGACCAGAAGAGCGATCAGACGAACAAAAGCGTCCAGGTTGTGGTAACACTTGGCTCTGATGATCGCTGCACTGGCTGCTGGATTATGCTGCTGCTCGGCCTGTGCTCGGTAGCTGATCTCCACACACATTTCTGTGCAGAGTCGGAAGAACCTCGTGATCAGATCATCTGTCTTTAAGATGCCCTGCTGGTGCATCTGGAGAAAACAGGGGGCAGAGGAAGGGTGAGAATTAACAAACTATTGAAAGTTTTCTGACTGTTAAATTTTCTGTCATCAGGTCAGTAAGTACCTGAGCCACAAAGGCAGAGAAAGCTTTGGTACTGTCCCGGCCAGCAGCCGCTGAGTGATACAGGTTGACCCACTCTCTCAGCAGGTACTCGGCTTTCTCACGCAGACCTGGAGGATCATCGTATTCTGATGCCTGTGAAATCCCAGAGTGCATCATGAAGTTGGGTCCTCCGTGGGCCCGGTCAATCATTGCTTCGTAGTTGGTTCGGACGACATCCATGAGCTGTGGAAGACTGTGGGCGATGACAGGTCACAGCAGAGTTAGTCGTGGAACCTTTGACATATATATGAAAACAAAACTGTTCCACATCTGACATATTACCCCTCTGGTGCGTTGGCTCTGGAGTGTGCACAAGTCCTCATTAAAGTCTCAATGGTGTGAAACAGGTCGGCCTCTGTGACGTGGCTCACACTGCGGTCATCCACCAGCAGGAGCTTCACCAGCTGCATGGCAAAAGCAACTGCCATGTAGTGCAATCCATTTTCCATCGACTGAGAAGAAGAAAAAAAGAAGAGAGAAAGGTTTCAGATTTACTGTAAGGCACCGTCAAAAATCAAGTATAAAATTTACCGTCAAGGCACCGTCAAAAATCAAGTATAAAATGTCCCCGACATAAGTTAACATCCTGAAAGTTTACCTGTGCTAGGTGCAAATCATACTGCTGCATATTGACGAGATGATTTCTGATCAGAAGCTCCACAGCCTCCACATTGTATTTGTACTCGTCACGACACTCAATGAGACACCTGCAGGGCGAGGACACAGGAAGTTAAGTTCTTTTTGTCTAACCACAAATTTTTTTTTTTTCTAAGAATAAAATCTGTCTCTATTCACCTGGTAATCTGTTTATTGCACCACATATATATATATTTTTTTAAGAATAAAATGTGTCTCTAGTCACCTGGTAATCTGTTTATTGCACCACTGTGGCCCATAGGCACGTCCATCCTGCAGGGCTTTGAGCACCAGCAGGTGGCACTCTCTGTAGCGCAGCAACAAATCAGCATCGGCCCCGCTGGTCGCATCGAGAAGACCTTCCACAGCCTGATGGACGGAGAGACCGAGTTAGTAAAGCACCATCCGACATCTACTGGTCATGAAGCGTTATATTTCCAAAGACTTTACGTCTGTAAAGTATCTGCTCTACCTTCTGCAGCAGGCCGAGTGCAGCAATGCCATCCCTGGAGTTTCTGGCCAAGGCCACAGCCTCCAGCAGGCTGCGCAAGGCCTGGGTCAAAGGGTTCATGGCCAGAGCAGGAGAGATGGCATGAAGATGTTGTTCCAAGTCAGCCATGCACTTCTCGTAGATCTGGGCCACATCATCAGTAGCCCATGCCTGTTGCTGAGAACATGGATGCAAAACAAAGGTTTAGACATACAGTGGCTGATTTAAGTCAAGACCCACAAATCCTGAAACTAACCAGAGAAAAACACAACAATATATGTACTTAAATCTGAATTGTTTTCAATACAACACAATCTATGTACTTAAATCTGAATTGTTTTCAAATCATAACCTTTTTACTTTTCACCCAAAAATCTTATTCTCGAAATCTCTTTTTTTACCCAGTGGAGCACTCCAACTCACTTCACATTTAAATAACCTTTGGTAAAAACATCATTCTCACCTTCATGGGCTGAGCCAAGAAGCCAGTGGGCTGAGAGAGGTCATTGCTGGGTAAGAAACCTGGAACATTTCTCGCAAACTCCTCATAAACAGCCAGTTGTTTTGGGTCCACTCCTCCGACCTGAAGAGAAGGGGAGTTTGGTTTAAAACAGTCTCAGAATATCCTGCCAGTTTAGAAGCGACTGGAGGCTCTGCTGATCTCACCTTCAGTCTGATCTGCTCCGGCATGCGCTCAGCTTGGTAGGTCAGAACAACAGGGTCACAGTAACGCCGTCCCTCTTGGCGTGCATGTTTTCTCAGTTCAAACTCCTGAAAAGTTGACATGATGATTAAATAACCAAAATCAATTGTAAACAGAAGAACAGAAGCTAGGCTTCATTTGTTCATTAAATGACCACAAATATTTTTCTTTAAACTTCTCAGTGTCTGACCGTGGCTAGTCTCTTGTCCATTTCAGGACCAGCCTTCTCCACAGCTGTTTTCTGAATGAAGCAGCAGGCTAATTCACAGTTATCTTGGGCGATGCGGGCTGAGGCCTCCTCCATCATTTCTCTCTGTTGAGGTGTAGGTGCCTGTGAAAACAGTCAGTTTTGTAACCAGGATGTAGTTAGACAGAGAAACGGGACAGTGTGACAGAGTAAAGAGGAGAGAGAGAGACAGCTTTGACCATGAATCAGTGGTGAGTTACTGCTGTAGATATATACCATGTTGAACTCTCAGTCTTACCCTCAGTGCAGTTCCAAAACTGTTCTTCAGGTTAGTATTGATGCTCAGAAGCAGGGGCTCGCGACAGGTGATCATGGCCATGCCGGCAGTCAGGTTCCTCATCATGTGGTGAGCGGCGACGCGCATGCGTGACTCCTCCGAATCCAAGGCAAAGTCCTTCCTGATGATCTGTTCACAGGTGGTCATGGCGATCTTGATGGAACGATCGACCACCGGATGCACCAACTCCTGGACAGCTCGCTCTATGGACTGACGTACGCACTGCTTCAGCTGAGGGTGAGCCTGGAGCAGAGGGATCTGAGGAGCCAACATGGAGGAAGGACATGTGACTGACTTCATTTGTTTAAAAAAAGTAGGAATTAACGAGAATGAGGTCCAAGTCTGCGTCTGTAGGTGTGTTACACTAACGTTGGCATTGATGTTGATGTGTGGAGCCAGACCAGCCAGGGCATACACATTGATGTCATGGTAGCTGAACTGTGGTGTCGGAGGACCGGTGCTTGTGCAGGTGGTGGTGGTGGCAGCTGGGGTGGAGGGAGGAGCTGCAAATGGAACAAAGTCTCCTGTTGGTCACAAAATGCTAATATGATTAAAATCCAAGAAAAAGGGAAGATTGTCAAATCAACATTCAATCAAAGCAACCAAAACAGAGGTTAAAGCACTAAAATAGATCAACACAAACAAAAACCAAACAACGGGTACAGCAAATCAAAAATTAATAGATTCAAGACAAACTTTCATTGAGTCAATTCACTATGATTTCAAAGGCTGATTGTTTGTCTATGTCACTCAGAGAAATCACATTTAGGTTCTTTCAGAAAAACGTCTATGTCACTCAGAGAAATCACCTCAAATCACATTTAGGTTCTTTCAGAAAAATCCGAGTTAAACTGCTCAGCTCTCCAAATGCAGTCCAAGCTTGAAAATCATGGAGGACAAACAGAAAAAGCATCCACCTGTGGTAGAGACTGGGAGCAGCTCCTCTGGAGGCTTTGCCTCTTTCTTTGGTGCCGACAGCTGGTCCTCAAGGTTCTTTAGTTTGTCCTTGTCCTTCAGGAGGTTTCCTGGTTTGAGATCATTGATGTCCAGGGACAGGTTCTTACACAGAACTTCAATCTCAAACTTTAGGTTTAGCTGAAATGAAAAATAAAACATTTAGCACAATTTTAATTGGACAAATTTAAACTCAGCACAACTTGGCTGGTTTAAGTTCTGTTGATAAAAGCGCACCAGGATTCACTCATTACCTTGAGCAAATTTAAATTCAGCACAACTTGGCTGGTTCAAGTTCTGTTGACAAAACCGCACCAGGATTCACTCATTACCTTGAGGTCATGTTCTTGATGCAGCTCTGCCAGGACATTCATGATGGCCATAGTCCAGGGATTCTGAGGCCTGAAAACCTACAGCAGCAAACAGAGTGTTTTTTTAAATAATGTTTTCAAGCCAAACGTACAATTTCATTTTAATCAGTAGAAAACATGTGATGTGTCGGGAAAGTGCTCACCATGCTTCGTAAACTGGACTCCAACACTTTGGCCACAAAAGGAACCACGTAGAGCATCTCCTGCTGACCTTTGACATAAGCTTCTAGTAGCAGAGACTTCACTTCCAGATCCTGACGATGGAGGGAACAACAAGTTTAGTCAGAAACCTTAGAAAAAGCACCATGTACTGAAACCAACCCAAGGACGTTGGCAGGAAAGAATCTCACAGTGTAGAGGATGGGTTTGTTTTTGGCCAGTGTTATCATGCCCAACCAGTGGCCCAGGTTCTTCAGCAGTGAACGATCAGAGAAATTTGCGGCTGCCTTGTCCGATGTCAGGAGGACCTAAAAACAGGAAGTGGAAAAATTTAATACTGACACAGTTTAGACTGAACAAGAACAATTCTGTGCATGCAATCCATGATAATACAAGACCTTGAAGAAAAAAAAAAGTAGTAGTTAACACTAGGCATGTCCGATAATATTTTAACAATCAGGAGATTGTATGCAGAATACTGGTGCCAGCAACTGATACAGTGGTTTGAACAGATAAACAAATAAATATTGCCAGGCCTATATTGGTATCGGTTGATATCAAAAAAGAAAATTAAGGGTTTGGAACATATCAGCATATGGGATATTGCCAAAATGTTAATATCGGACATTCCTAGTTAACACATAAAATCAAATAGTAAAAGCAGATGGACATAAGCAGAGAAAATGAACGTAAAAATCAAGAGTGCCTAACATTAGCAGACACAGGCAAATAAACAGCATGGAAAAAGCGATTAGTATATTTTACATAGTAAGGTATTCAAATATATTGTCCTACATGACATGGGCTTCACTTCAGGCCTACCTTGATGTTTCGGTAAGTCTCACTCAGCACCATCTTGACAAACTCTGGGTTCTTTAGAGTGTCCAGGAAGTTGGAGTACAGACTGTGGAAGTTGGGCTCGATGCTGACACGCTTCATCACCAGGTACTGAGACACCCAGGGCATGAACTCCTCCTTCACAGTCTCTTTCAACTCCTCAACCTAAAAAGAAATATTAAAATGTCAGTTCATTGCCTGATGGTCCAGACCAATAACCGTGTTTTCTAGTCTCTTCACCTTCTGCGTCATGTTGGACTGAGACAGGTTGTTGAAGATGAAAGCTATCTTCTCCTGGACGTTCTCTGGAGGCTCCACAATCCTCTCCGTCTGGTCTGTGGCCACCAGGAGGGTGTCGATGTTGGTGGTGTTGATGGAGGGCTGCAGGGTGGAGGGACAAAAACAACAAATGGTCATTGATCATCACATCACACCACAGCTAACTGTGACTGGGACTGAAGGCTCCTCTGATCCACTTAACCAACAGACCATGGGATGGTCCTCTAGAAAAAACTGGCCTCTTTCGAAGCTACTGGCCTCGTCTATGAAACTTTCTCTGTATTCTAAAACAGGGATCTGCAAACCCCGGTCTGGGAACCAGTGATAAAATGTACTTCAGTTTTACTATCTTACTTCATTCAAAGAATGAACCCAGCCGTATCTTTTTACTTTTTTCATTCAAAGATAATCTGTCCTTCAAATGACAGATTGTTTCAAAACAACAGGTCATTCAGACTCTGATACTAACAGAAGAAAGTCTGAAAGATGTTTCATTTTGAAAATGTAATGATCCTTCAACAACGTTTTTACCAGTAACGCCTGATACTGGCCGACCAGTCCTTGGTACCAAAAAAAATGTTGAGGACCGCTGTTCTAAAAGACAAACAGTTTAACCAACAGTTAATTTTCTACTACAAACTTACAGGCACATCCTTTTTGAAGGTGCTTTGTGTTGGTCTTGTAATAGTGGTGGTCTTGGCTACCGTGGTTGTAGTGGTGGTGGTGGTGACCAGGGTGCTGGGTTGCCCCGGCTGTGGCGCTTTAAGTCCTATAGGAGGCTGGGCCTGGGACTGAACCTGTGCCAGTGCCAGACTGCCAGGTGTGGTGATGGAGCCCTGCATCTTCACCGGGGGGTCCCGTGACTGTTGGCCATACTCGATATACTGCACACACAGGATATTTGAAAGTGCAGAGCGGCACATTTAACTCATCTGTATTTGATAAGCCATTTGACATTCACAGCAAAGATGAAGAAAGATGTCTAACAAACAGGTCAGGATCAACATAAACTTAAAACCTGATTACCTCTTGTAGGTGATGGGGAAACTGCAAAAAGTGTGCAATTGAAGCCAGGTGTTGACAATACTGCGGGTAGTCCTTAAGTCTAGAAACATAACATGTGTTAGTGCAGCACGTGTGAGACATGAGGACATAAGGAGTGGGTTTGTATTTCTAACAATGTATATGAAAGGTTCAATGTCCGAACTCCCTTCATTCTCAATTAGCTTAGTTAGCTAGTGCCTTTACACAAAAGGATGTTTTTGATCCTTTGAAGGATCCATCAAAAGAAGGTCTTAAGTTTTTTTTTTCCTAAGGACTGTAGTCGGCCAACCAGCCAACTATGGCTAATGAATAGCATATTTATTAGGCCCCACCTTCTGGGTCTAATAAATCATGACAAGGAAACATGACGGGTCACACATCAGTGACTGCGGTACATAATTAGTACATCGGAACCACTGTCCTAGAGGAAACAGATTTACGTGTGTCGGCTGAAAAGTTTTCTGATCCAAGACGTCCTCTAATTTTCTAAACAGCAAATTAGAAATCAAAACAAGATTCCAATTTGCACGACTTTCACAGAGGTACAGCAGAAACATTCACACCAAGAGCTCATCATAGGGGTGTAAAAATAAAAGCAATGTATCATTGCCTCTGTATCAGGATACGTATCGTATCGCCGGATTCTTGCCAATACACACTGCTTGCCTGACCCATTTGAGTTTTATCAGTCTTTAAATGAAAATTGAAAACCTGCCTCTACCTGTTTTTGAACTTGTCCAGGGCGGCGATTCCAAAGTAATACATCTTTGATCCAAATGGTTTTCTTAAGGCTTCAAGGACATATCGGAGAGCCAGGCCCAGCGCCATGTAGGTGACCAGACCTTTCTCAATGATTCCACCAAAAAGACAGGCAGTGATGTGCAGCTCCTTGTCTGGGTACTGAGGGAAGAACCGGTATTCCTCGAACAAATTCCTCAACATACAATTGAACACCTCCCGCTCTCTCTTGATGTTGGAATCCTTGAACCTCTGCAGCATCTCCAGAACCTAGACAATAAGGTACGAGTTAGATGACCAGTATAAAAGTGTTTGAAACAAATCAAACACACAGAAATGTGCTTTTAAGAAAAAATAAAACATTTTACTACATACTTCATCCACAGACATAGTCGGGTGAGGTGGGTGGTTGTAAATGCGCTGGAAGTAACTGTTAGCTTCATCGTCGATCTCTTTACTAAAGTGCTGGTTTGCCTCGGGCCACACCTGAGAAAGGTCAGCTAGGAGATAGAAGACGACCATCAAGTTTTTGTTAACCAGCACTGGGGCATTAGAAGCTTATTAATCCAGATCATGGACGGTTTATTTGTGCGTGCATGCATGAAGCACCAAAAAGTTTTCTAAATGACATGGTCAGATTAGAGCTCTCTTTGTTGCTGCAAAATAAAAAAAAACAATTAAGTGGGGCTGTCAGCAGAAGCAGACAATGAATGGAAGACTGATCTGTATTTCCTCCACAGTAAACCATTGTTTTGTTGAAAATTAAATTGAAGCCTAAAAGTTTGTGGAATCATTCTGTGCCGAACACAAAAGTGAACTGATAAAAATTAGTTAGCCAATCACCAGCAGAGGAAAAACAGTGCTGAGCAGCGCAGGGCGGGGCTCTCAGTCAGACCACTACCACCACCACTTACAGGCCTTCATCTTACTCTGCTGAAAGGTCGGTGGGTTCAGACCCGGTGTGCTCATCTTCCTGGTGCCAAAGGGATCAGTGCTTACAGTCGGCATCCCCAGACTGGATCCCAGGCCAGAGCCGAGGGGTCCTGGAAGGGACCGAGACTTCAATCAGTATGAGGCTCACAACCCAATACGAGGGCAGAGTTTTTGCAGTCTTAACTTCTGTGTGTATTGGTATTAGAATAAAATAAATGTCTTCGTACCAGAGTCCATCCCAGGAAGCTGTGAGGACAGGCTGCCAATACCCCCAAAAGGGGTGCTAGGGTTTGGATTTGAGAGTGGAGGGAAAGCCTTTGCTGGGGACTGGGGATTACTGAAAGCTGAACTGAGGGAGGTGGGGAAACCCTGCATACTCTGAGTGTGGGAAGTGGCCGTGCTCCCCAAGCTCAGGGACCCCATTCCAGACAGTGGGTCCATCTAAAAACGAAAAAAAGAACATGAGAGTATGAGAGAAGCATGGAATGTTCCGTATCCTCGTTAACGTAGTAAAAAATAAAACAAAAACAACGAACTCATCACAAATGACGTCAAGTTCGAGTTTCAAACTGAGAATACCTGAACAGGTGAAATGGCGTCCAGGCTGCTGGTGCTAGGAGCCCGTACCTTGGGCATTACCCCTGGTGGCGGCTGCCGAGCTTTGTTCATTACATTACTGCAGTTGGCAACCATGGTAAGGATGGTCTCAGACAACTCCTGGGACACATTCCTTGAAGAGAAATTATAAAGTTTGAAACATCTTAAAATGTACAATTTTTTTTCATGACAGTAACGTCTTTCAGTTTATCAACAACAGACTTTGAGTCCAATGTAACCGTTGTTCAGCACTGCTTTAAACAAGGCTGTCGTTAATGGACCTGAAGAATATTAAAAATCAACCTCACCCTGCACAAGACTTCAAGCAGGCCAGCATGGTAGCTAAGGTCTCTGGCGGCAGCTGAGCACTTTTGGGTTGGTCCTTGTCTGGAGCCAGACCACCCATAATGGACGGGCAGCGCCTCTTCAGGAATGTCACACACGCCTGGATGAAAGGCTCCTAAAAAGATAAAAATGATTTTACATATCTAGTTTTTAAAGGGGGGGGGGTTGTAATTACATTTAGAAAAAGTATTTCTAGTCAATGAAGTTATACCCCGTGCTCTCTGATTTTGTCAGTCAGCCATTTGTCAAGTTTGAGGTATTCACGGCGAGAGGCAAGTGCAGCGAGGTCAATGACAAAGGCAAATGGAGTACCATTCAGCAGCATTGATAGAGACTAGGTAAAAAAAAAAAAAAAAAAAAAAGACAAGTTTAATATATATATTTATGTCTGATCTCATCATTTTTACACCTTGATGCCAGCAGTTTTCAATTGGCAAGTTGTGAAAAAAAAATCTGATCAACATATTCAAACTTGCATTATGTGTAATTGTCTGATATAATTTTTTTTTTAACATTTGACATTTCTTGACAAACCTTCAAGTCCTGGGCCACATCCAGGATGCGAGACAGTTTAGCTTGGTCGTACTGCTCCCCTCTCATGTACCACTCAGCCATCGAATGCATTATGAGCTGACGGATGGAAGGAGATTGTCCCTGGAAAATGACCAATGCCGTTTATTAATTGTCGACGAACGAGCAGGAAAAAAAAAAAAAAAAAAAAACAAAGAGACCAGGGTCCGACACCTACCTGTCCGTGCCAGGCATAGTGCAGGATAATAGCAGAGTTGGGATGGTTGCCGAGAAAGATGGGCATGAGGGTGGAGATGAGCTCATGGCGCAGTGTGTGCCAGGATGTAGAGATCTGAAGCAGTGCCAGCACCAACATGTCTGGGCAGTGCTTGATGGGAAAGCTGAACAGCTGCTTCACCTGCTCGTACTGGCCCACCTCGGAGAGTCTCAGCAGGCTCTCCACCAGGTCCAGGCTTTTCCTGTAGGAGGCAGTGACTCAGTGAACATCTCAACAGGGAATGATTTTCTGGTACAGTATCCACACAGCGGCATTGGGCTTCATACCATGTGGCAATCTCCCGGTTGTCATCCTCGGGCGGTGCCTTCAGAATGTCAGTGGCCACGGTGTGACACGGGTAGTCAGCAAAACAAAACACCTCTGGGCTCATCAGAGAGTGCTGAATGAAGGAGAGCTGAAAGAACTTCCTCATGGGAATAAATGTTTGTAAGCTAATGAATGACAGGTTGAAGTGTGAGTAAAACAGCATTTTCTGATGTGATGCCCAGTCCTCTCTGAATTCCATAAACCACTATTTGTAGTCCTTTACTGTCCCGGATGATGAAACCTGGATGATCCAGTTCATACGTCACCTCTTTGAAGTTTAGGTTGGGATTCTAAAGACAAAAAACAAAACAAAAAAAGTCTGAATGATCTGTTGTTTTGAAACACTGAGATTATATTTGAATGAAAAAAGTAAAGAGATATGACTGGATTATTTTTGTAATGAAGTTAATTAGTAAAACTGTGGCCCTGTACCAAATGACCTACGGGCCAGCAACGGTTCCTAAACCAGGGGTTGGGGACCCCTGATCCACAATATTCAGCATCAGCACTGTGTGAATCTCTGTGAATCAAGTCCATGTTATATGGACAAACAATATGGGTCACATACCACTTCTTTGACAACATCGATAAGAACCTCGACGTTCCAGGTGTGGGCCTGCGAGCCGTCATTCTTATCCTTGCCATCACTCCAGATCCCACTTCCTGGAGCAGAGATGGACTGAAAGAGGAAAAAAAGTGTGATGTATTTACTATTAAAACATTAAAATAAAATAAACATTAATAAGCTATAATGTAAATCCTTGAGCAACTCACCTGCAGTGGAATACCATCAGTCAGACCAGAGTGGGTTCGGGCCATCATGCCCAGAACTCTGGCGACCTGGCTGGCCGTCACCTCTCTCACCCCATATTGAATAATTATGTTTCTGCACTCATCCACACTGATGGGAGACAAAGTCATCTTAACACTTCTGGGTTTTTTTTAATTTATTTAGTGATTATACATTAGATGCAACATTTACTCACCTAGCACAGAAGCCATATCCAACTTCTTGCATAAATTCTGCAAGAGAACTCTCCATCATGGTCTTAGCTAACTCCCCCGAATCTGGTAAGATCCTGTCCATGAGAATGTCCCGTTTTTCAGGGTACAGAAGTGGTGCGAGCACCACAGGACAGCGCTCTTGGGGAAAATCTGAAACGGCAAACACCAAACAAATCCATGTGTGTTTTACTTGACATTCGTACTGTGTGTATATGCAAAAAAAAAAAAAAACAGGGTCTGAACAATTGTGTTTCCATAAAGGACCATACCTCGGCAAAGTGTCTTGAGGAAGGCGTCAATCTGCTCTTGCCCAACCCCACTGGCTCCCTTCTGGCCAAACAATAGATGGGAGAGCAGCAGGTGCAAGACCTCTATGGCAATGTCCTGGAAGCCACCTTCCTGGTTTCCACTGAGATCAGCGTCAACGTATGACCTCAGAAGATCTGGAAGTTTCTGCTTGATGAACTGTGCAGCTGAAATGAAAAAAAAAAAAAAACAATATAAAGTTAAAATACCTACTTATTGTTTAAATATTTATACAAGACAGCCCTAAAATAGTTAAGGTTTGCAGCTCATTTATAATTAAGATGAAATCACATCAAAACAAAAACAACTCACCAAAGCCACGGAGGTCAGTGTTGCTGGAATTGAGCAAGGCAAGTCCAAAAATCACCTGGAAAAAAAATTAGATAACACATTTAATATAAAACTGAATTTATTTCTTAGCCCACAAAGCATAGCAGGAGTTGTCTTACCTCTTGGACTTTGCTGAGCTTAAGGACTTTACTCAGTTGAGTGAAAAGATGGGCCGAAGGCTTCAAACTCTGGAAAAAAAACAAAACAAAAAAAAAAAAAACAAAATCATGAATGATTTTGTCAAAAGCTTGATTTCATACTTTTTAGGGACAGTAAAAGTTACTTTTCTTAAAAGGACAGTTATGAGAGTCTCTCTTCTGTTCCTTACCTTCTGGTAGTGCAGAGGATTGTCAATGGCGTAACACAGAGTAGAGATAAAGTTTGGCTTTGATATCAGCGACACACACTCCTGGATCAGAAACTGTGTCTTGGGCAAGTTGAAAAAGAAAACGTACCCAAGAGAGAGGACAGAGAAGAGAGGCAAATGAAGCGCAAAATAAGTGTCTGACAATAATCACCGTACAGTGCAGTGTATTTAGGACGAACAAATTCATCATAACAAAAAAGGGGTTTCAAAAAGAATAGTACAAGTATATACTATTAAAAGTATTTTTTAAATATTCTCTGGGTCAGATTAAGTTAAGACACCGTGGAAAGAATTTTTTTTTTTTTTAAATTAAATAAGACACCGTAGAAAGAAATTATTTTTAAAAAATTAAATACCTAACTAACCTAACAACAAAGCATGGCCTATTTCAGTACACAACCCTATCAAAACAGCTCAGCTGAAAACGTCCCACAGAACCAATCAGCTGGCAGCTGTAGTTTGCATTTGTAACACACTGAATTTATCATGTCAGCAAAACAGTGTCACGGAAAAGATAAAGGCTCCATCATAACTAAAGGTTTAAGATTATTGCGTCTGACCTGACTCATGGTCAAAGATTACCTGGTGAAAGTCCTTGCCACTGCTTTTACCATCGCCACTGAAATCCACATGGGAGAAGAGACAGCGTAATAGATGTCTGTCTGCCTCAGGACCGTGACGATTTACAATCTAGCAGAGCACACGAGGGGGAAAAATATCAGTACAAGCATTTGCCAAAAACCTTTAAGTCGACACTGTGGAAGATCCTGGCAGGATACTGAGCTCGATCAATGTATTTGATGGCACTCACATGTTGTATTTCTTGCTGGCTGGCTCTGTAGTTTTTCTTCGTTAAATTGTCCACCAGATAGCTGATTTGAGACAAAGCCAGCGAGAGCGAGTCAAGATTCATTGCTGGTTGGGGCGGAAGCAGGCGGCCGAGCACGGCGCAAAATCACCATTATTCCCCTTTAGTCACTTCAGTGATACGTTACTTCTGCTCCCCCCCCCCAAAAAGGTGAAAAATATAGGGTTCCAAATGAGTTGTTTTCCGATCAGTGGCTCCTAGTGATAGATAAAGTCCTTCAGTTTAAAATCAAGTTCAGCATCTGTAATGAAGGAAAAAAAAAAGATTAGGCTTTTATTTCACATTGAATTGAGACATTTCATTTATTTAAAATACAAGGAATTAATTAGTAATAATTAATAGGTCCTTATTTTCAAATTGTAAAGAGGCTGAAGCAGCATAGAAATGTTACAATGAACAATTGCTTTTAAATAAGAGTGAATAGGCCACACCTCACTTTCTATATAACAACAAACAGTCACAGATAACAGAAACAAATGAAAACGTTTACTTAAATGTTAATTTTCGTTGTCCGTGATAATTTAATATTAATAATTTAAAAAATACGTAACTTTTACCTTTGATTAAACTTTTACACATAATTACATCCAAAACCTGTCGAAAACTCAGTTTCACTTGAACCTTTTACGTCTATTAATGTTTTGCAAATTGCCACAAATAATACGTCAGGCTTTCATGCGAGGCCAAGCGTAGATCTTGTAAGTAAATAACATGTGTAAAGTTCTGACCAAATTGCTAAGTTGGAGTTGATGCAAAGTTACAAAAAGTTAGTGATCCATAACGCTTAACTAGGCCTCACTTGTGTCCGATACAATTCAAAGAAACTCAATTAGTTACTGGGCTAACAAACGTCGGGGTGTACAAACCTATACTAAAGAACATCCCGAATTTCTGCATACGGTTAAGTTTTTTTCCTGTTTACTTCAATGAAAGACCAAAAAAACACAGAGACAAAAGACCGACATATTTCGAGTTAGCAATAACGGGTGTATCGAGTGCTTGCATGTAGTTGTGTTTTTTATTTTTATTAATTGACTACAAGTTTTATAAACACGATACGCAACAATGTATATTGATTCAGAAGACTTAACATTTTGAATAATATGATACTCCGGTGGCCAAGTGGGACCACCAGGCTAACTAATGTAGCTAACATCACCATGACGGTGGTAAACACTTGGTCGAAGTTTCACTCAAAGTAAAACTGCACGCCTACCGCTTTAATTAGCAAGCTTTTGTTGTAATTATATCATTCATAATCTCATACTTTATACTCTAGTCAATCGTGGTACCTGTAGTGATTAGCTAATGGCAAACTCTGAAAATATCCAGCAAATCCCTGTAGGCTACATGCTACCGCTATGTGATTTTACAGAAGCTAAGCTAGTAACACCTCATGCTGGCGTTTAAGAATAAGCTAAATATAATCTGTAATGGTCCTGTTTTCTCGCAATAGTAAACGACTTGTGAAATCATCAATGCACGTGCATTCTTCATACCTCGGGTAATTTCACTCATGCCCGTACGGTGGACTCACAGGCCGCAGCTACTGCGGACCAGCTTTAGCGCGATTGTGGGAGCTAACATTAGCATTAACCTCGTCGGGCTCTGGCTAATCTATGGAACGGCTAACATGATAGCAACAGCAATATATATCCTTTATGACGACGCGCAAGTTGCAACCAGCAACTGTCAGTGATACCTCGAGGATTCCTTCCACAGATATAAAGTAAGTCATACCACAAAACTGAATTACTATAAATAAAAGACGTGGTTATTTTCAGAAACACCAGTTTGCCGACGGTACCGCGGTGACAGCTGCTCTTCAGCAAATACACGAACCCCAGATTGGTGTTGGCTACCGACCATCCTCCGTATTAATATCGCTCCAAATGTGCTAAGTCCAAAAGATTAAATAAAATAAAACTTAAAAGAGCTCTTAATTGAATGCATAGTCACCACTCTCACCGTGCTTCCAAGAAATAGTTCAGATGCTCATCCTTCTTTTCTTGTTCTCACGGCAAACTTGTCGAAACAGTAGGGTCGCTGTGTCTCCACTTCTGTTTGATTTTTCAAAATAAAATGGCGACTGTCACTGCCGCCGCGGCGCGCTCCCGGCTGGAGACGTGTGCGTGCGTGAGGCCTCAACTTAACCACGCACACGACACATAATTATACTATAGCATATATATTAGGGGTAGGCTACAATTAACGTTTTATTCACGTTTACTGTCAGTGATTTATTGCGATTAATCGAGTCGTTTCGTTATGTAATCAATCAAAATTCATGAAGCAAAGTTTAATAATGATTTAAAAATCTGTATTGTAAGTTTTAATGTTAAAAACTTTTTGTTTTCTTATAATGGCAGTTATTTTTCCACAGTAGCAGCAAAACATATTTACTGTGAATTAACTTTTAGAGATTTTTGTTATTGAATCAGATATACCACCCAAGCTATTTACCACTTAAATGACATTAACATTGTATCTTCTTGCCATAGAAACAGAAAACTTCACAAATAACAGCTGCAACCCGATGGTAATTTTAAAAAGGTAAGTTAATTGAAATAAACTAAAGGGACGGAGTGAATGGATTGTGCTTTTGTGTAACAAATATTATATGGCGGTTGGTAGATTTATGAACGTAGTGATGGATAACATGGATATTTTATGTGTGGAGACAGGATGAAGGCAGATGATTTGTTGACGTGAACACTGAAAGAAGTAGCTGAAATATTACAGAATTCAAATGTGTTAATCTGGAAGGAAAGTTATTTTTCGTGTATCTTTTATGGGCCTGTAAAAACATGGAGATCCAAAATGGAGTGTGGCAGAAAAATCTGTTAAGAGTGAATAAAAACACTCACTTGGAGTAAAACTTCATACTTAAGAGTGAGTGCACTTGAGTTTAATTGTGTATTTATTCAGATTATGAAAATGGTAATCAAATGTGAAATCATTTTAAAACAAAACTTAGTACAGCACACGTTAGAAAAAGCAGTTGGAAATCGAGGGCATTAGCATTAGCACGAGGTTTAATAGGTCTCCTGTTGGAAATCGAGGGCATTAGCACGAGGTTTAATAGGTCTCCACATTCTGTTATAATCCTATAGGTGGCAGTATTGCTTATGTAAGAAGGCTGCTCAAAGCGACAGGCTCCAGAAAAGAAGAACGCCTCCTCCTTCATTCACCTCTTTTTCCTCCTCGTTTGGTGGAGTCACCAGCGGAAGACATCAGAAGGAAATATTTTACGTTCCCCTTTAGTACGGGCGTTTGTTAAAGTTTATTTCCAGTCATCATGTCGTCTTGGGGGAAGATGTCGCCGGCCGCTCGGCGAACTTCAGCGAACCCTAATGGAAGGTGAAAAACAAGTGTTTTTTTAACGTAGGCGCAGCAGCTAGTATGCTAACAACAGCGCTAGTTGAAGGCACATTTTCTTATTCTTCTTTTGTTAGATTACTGGCCTTTTAGTAGGGAACGGTTAACATGTAGATGAAAGAATTGAAAAAAATGTGCATTATGTTTTCAGCGCTCAACAACTGCGGCCGTTCAGGAGGGCGGCGCCTTATCCCAGCAGGGATGAGAGAAGTGAAGAACTGAAGGATGTTCTGGACAGGTAAGACCTAATGATATTTATGTGTCCTTATTTATATCATGTAGTTAAATAGAAAATATTTGTTTACGTATATTTTTTTCCAGCAAGTATCCAGCACGTCTCGACAAATCAGGCGTTGTTAAAGTCAGGATCAGCAGCAGAACACTTGGCAGGTTGCAGTCAAAATGTATATTGTTTACATCTTATATTTGTATAACAAGGCAAATCTCATTAATGTTAAAATTGTTCACAAAGTCAGGATGGACAACAGAACTCCTTGTAGGTTTCAATAAAAAAAACCCAACAATCTCTCTGGTGGAGTCAATGTGTATTTACTACTCCACTTGTATCAACAACATTTGAAAAACAAAAGTCAATGGATAGTTTCTTTTAAAGGTCCAATATATTTTGATCAATCATACACCAAAGGTATTTAAAGATGAAAATATAAATTGTCTTGAATGAGAGAGGAGAAAAAGGACTTTTACAGGTCATGTCATCCCAGAAGGCAAGAGGCAAGTTTCATGTCTCACCCATGAGGCTACTTCTGTTATGTACCTGACAAACAGGAAACCCTCAGCTCACAAATTTGATAAAGCTATGATGCATAGTTGTCCGGGGCTGATGTTTATTGTTTCACAATTTTGATGCGTTTTTGTTCCACATCAGAGTTCCCAATCATGCTATCATTAAGATGGAAAATATTGTATGGTTTTAATTGGGGCCAAGCTCAACATAAAATCCTTAATGGTGAGATAATAAATGGTTCTATACATTATTATAGATGAATATCCAAACCACAGCTGTCAAAGCACTGTCACCAGTCACGACCAGTGCTGCAAATAGGAATCTGTTAATTCAGTTTATTTAAGCAGCAGTGTGTGTGTTTTTTTTTTTTTTAAATAAATCACTATCAATTTCGTTCAGACAATGGTTGAAGGCGATGAAGTCTGTCAGCCCCATGGGACACGTTTCTCCAGATATCAGTGTTTAGAGCTTGTGTCTCCTGGCAACTTTCCCATCTGCACACAAGTAGTGATTAGTTTTAATGTGAAACTGTAGGAAAGCAGAGAGGAAACAGGACACCTGCTCAGTAAAGGGAGACGACTACACACAGGTTGTTGAATAAAAGAAAAACAAACAAGCACCAAATAGGGATTCCTAGGTGGATTCACACCCTCCCAAACAAACACACATACACGCACACACGCAAGGATACCAAAGCGTAACGCACGCACACACGCAAGCATACCAAAGCGTAACCAAACACAAGTCAAACGTTCCTGAAGAATTAATTGTACATTTTTAAGAAGGCTCCTGCATGGGGCGGGGGCATTTAATTCACTTCAGAATGACTGAGCTGTTTCACCACGTCTTCACAGTTACGAAGAACTCGAGCAAATGCAGAACTTCTCTGGAGGAGTGACGTACGAGAGCTACAAGCCTCAGGCAAACGGTAAGTTGTTTTTTTTCTCCGTCACCCTGGAGTCGTTAAAACACTGTGCACAGCTTATTATTAACAGAAAATACCTCAGTGAGAAATGTTAGGTAAGAACATCCGCCTTCAAGGGGCAGTTTCAGTTGGTTTAGTGTCTGCTCAATATCAGGAAATGTTTTTATTACTTACTGCAGATGCACCATCAAACGTATTAGTTGATGAATATCTGATATTAACTTTTTGCCGATATCCAATATGCTGATATTGTCCTAACACACTCACAAAATGAGCTACAATGCTTCCATCTAGTGGCTAGCACTTTCATATACAGCCGTTTTTCCCCGTTCTTGCAGACATTACATAATTATGCTAATATCGGGCACTTGATATTATCAGACACCCCTAGTATTAGTTTATTTGGTATTTTTGTTTTGAACCCCTCTCCTCACACTTTCATCCTTTGTGTCACTTCTTTTCTCCTGCTCAGTCCCCTCCCTCAAACCCACGGCCAAGACAGAGCTCTGCACTCCCGCGGACAGACGTAAGGCTTTGTATCAGAAATTCTACAGACAAGTGCAGGAGGAGAGGAGGTCTGCTGACTGTGTGATTCTCTCCGTCACCAACCAGTGCCTGTGAGTACAAGAAAAAAAAATGCAGAATGTCTGTTGTAGCACAGGACTGGAGAATAGAGAGGGTTTTTAATGGTTTTGCCCAGGGCTGCAGAACCATTGACTGTCACATTTTACAGTACTTATACCCATAGTGAAAAGTCTGCCTGGCAACACTCAAACAGAAACAGGAGTGTATTGCCAAGAATCTGGTGATACAATACGTATTACGATACAGAGGCAACGATACAATACTGCAGTACTATAGGCACGAGGATATATTGAGTTTTTTTTTCACCAATGTAACTGTAGTCCAAGTGTGATCCTAGTCTCAGACTCAGGAAATAAAATATCGCCATATTTCATTGTATCATTATTTTTTTTTTACACCCATAAGAAATAATCTAGCAGTATACACTGTAGTACTGTCGTAGAAACTGAAAACCTACATCTCAGACAAAATACTACCTGTAGGTTTCTCTGGTGTCCCACAGCTTCAGTTCTGTTTACACAACCGCTCTGTTCTTCATGGTTCACGCTTTTGTTGATGATCGTTGAAATGATGCAGAACCTTACTAACTGGTTTGAAAAGAGGAGCCTAGAACTGGTCCTTCAAACTTGTAGTTCCTTAACAAAACCTGACATTTGTGATTGATGTGCAACTATTGGCTGTTACTCTAATCAGCAGAGTCACAGAGTGTTTCGTTCAGGAAGCTTTCTTCTTGAAGGAAATGGAATTCTCTGACACATGATCCAATAGATTTAAAGGAAATAAAAAAACGTTGTCTTGTTGCGTCAGTGGTTTGTAAATGATGACAGTGCAATGGTCGTTACAGTACTGTAGTGAAACATGCTGCCTTAATGTTCCTCCACTCTAAAAATAGATCCGCAGCTGTTTTCATTCTGTATTGATGAATCACCACCACAACAACTCTGTGAAGGTGTAACATTGTTGATGTTGTCTTTGTTCAGGTTGTTTTTTTGTTTTTTTTATATGGTCTTTGTTGTTGTGTTGCACATAAGTTCCAAAAGTTTCTCAGAAGAACTCTCCCAACTTAAACTTCCACAAACCGACCACATACTGTTCATACCTGTATACTCAACTTTTTACTCACTCTTTTTAAACCCTAAAACTCCACTTTTTATATTAAGACTCTTACTGTTGTACAATTAAATTCTTAAGTCCACCCACACACAATTTTTTTATTATTTTTCTCCTCATATCCTCAGACTAACATTTCTGACACTGCCTAAACCCAACCAATGACTCAATGAAACAGTGGATAAACATGAAATATAGGAACATACTCAATTCAGGGATGTCTGATAATTCCAGCTGACGGTTATCTGCCCGAGATTGACATAACTGTGTAACTTTGGTAAGAATGGTTATCTTTTTTTTTTTTGTGTAACTGGGTTTATTTTGTACAGATGTTAATTTGCCTTGAGTGGGGCGTCACAGTAAAGGTAGGTAAGGAGATACAGTATGTGATGTGACCTTAAAATAGTCTTGGCGATGATACTTTTATCACAATCGTTTTTATTTCAGAATCAGAAATCACATATCAGATACTGGCAAAAAGTGAATATCGGACATCCCTAATTAAATAAAAAATATCACTGCATATGGTTTTAAATGACTGCTGCAACACAAACACACATAAACCAGCGCCACCTAAACGTCTGCATCATTTCACATTTCTTCCTGCGTTACTTCAACATCACTAATAGAAAATGAACACAGATTCCTGGCTACATGTTGATAACGACACCAGTTTGTCTTCCTCTCACAGAGATAATGTCTCCACGTGGCAGCAGAGTTAACACCGTTAACACACAGACATGTCAACTTAACAACATCTTTCTCTTCCTCTCAAAGGGATTACCCCAAATCGCTAAGCCAGTGCTTGCAGGAGCGCGGCCTGTCAGTGGAAATGCTCTACCTTCAGGCGGATTCGGGCCTGACCCGGGCCCTGCAGGATGTCCGAGCGGGCGGCTCCCCGTTATGTATTCTGGTGGAGCAGACAAACATAGCTCTGTCCTCCTGCACTGTTATCATATTCTCAGAGTCCCTAAAAAGTAAGTCCCCAGCCCGGGTGTTCCTTCACGTTTATCCAGACCCCCCTCCCCATCCCACCCTACCCCAACACCTAGCCCTCTGTCAGGCTCAACATCACATTGTGTTGCAGCTTGAATTGAAATTAATTTAAATTCCACCTGATTTTTTTTTTACACAAAGTTCCATGGTTTTAGTGTTTGAATCCACATCAAAAGAGAAAATTAAATAAAAAAAACACCAACATTTAAACCTTTAAACAAACAGAAATAAACATTGTCCTTGTAACTAAACCATCTGTACTAAAGTCCACATGATGTTGGTTTTATTCACACAAAAAATGCACAGTAGTTACTGCTTAATCCTGTTGAGTCGATAGTCTGGACCCGGGTGACCACTGTGGTTCTGGAGATTTTCTAGATCTCTTTCTAGATAAGATACCCATCTGTTTGATCTGAAACCAGCACGTGTCTTCACTGGGACTCTGGGTCCAGAATAAAATTTGTGTTTTGTGTAAATAACTTCCCTTATAATCTGAGTAGGTGATCCACAAAATAACTTCACATGATGTATTCCTGGCAGCGTCTGTGCTCTGTGGTTTCATGCCTGTAGTTTTAGGACTTTAGTCCAGTCAAATAACAAATAAAATAATCTCATGCACAATCACACACAACTTGTATCACAAACAAATCTGCGTTTCACAAACATGGTGAACAGGAATAAAAAAAAAAACAAAAAAACAACCAAAGTTTATAGAAACCAAAGTGATTTTTTTGTTTGTCCTGTAATATTGACTTGTGTCACACACCTTAGAAAAAAACTACAAGAATATTTTCAATCCAATATCTACTCATTTATGTAGATCAGAAAAGCACATCCTAAAACACATATACATTAATGATCAAAGTATATACATATATAAATACACAGGTCACTGAGTCAAAATCCAACAGTTCTGTTGAATCAGTTCTATTTGTATAAATTCAACACAGCTTTTCGTCAGTTGCCATCTTTACACAAACCACACCACAGAATAAAACCACCACCTTAAAAAGCCTCCACTCTGGTCACTGACCTGAAGATGACCTAGGTTTCATTTTAGCTGAAGTTACCACTTAGTATTAAGTCCTATTCAAATGGCCGTTGAGACACTTAGTAAGTCCTATTCAAATGGCCGTTGAGACCAATTGTATAATTGTTTCCTTCCCTGCAACCACAACATTTACCAAACAATTCAATCTTCCTCCCAGTCCACCGGAACATGCCCAAAGACCAGGCCATGGACTTTGTCGCCAGTGAGTACAGTTGCAGGGTCAGCAAAGACCGCGTTCCCAGAGACCCTGCCGACATAGCAGCGCAGACCTCGCAGCTGCTGGACGATTATTTAGAACGGGAAAAGATGGAGCGGCACAGTGTCCCACCTGAAACCCGGCAGCTCCTGGTGCTGTTGGCAGAGGGGGTACATCTCTACCCCGAGGAGCTGGAAACCATCTGCGGGTACGTCCGCTCTCGCCAGGAGCACGTCCAAGGTCAGATGTTGATCACGTCGAAGTCGGCAAAAGGAACTGGGGCTGTTTCTGTATCAGTATGACCTTTGACTTAATCATGTTTTGGTTTTGTTTTTTCCAATGACAGCTGCGAATGGTGGTGGCGAGAAAGCCAACACGTTATCAACAGTACAGAGGAAACCACCCCCACTGCTTCCCACGCCGCCTGGTCCGCCTCTGGTTGATATTGCAGGGGGGTCCTTGACTGACAATTGCCCTCCAGCACGTCCTCCTCTGTTACCTTCACCAGGTCAGACATCCACCTCCATTGAAGATCTATTACTGATGATTCCTTTCCAGGGTCACCGATGAGCTGTAGCCAATCACATTACAGTAGTCGCTGAAGGCCACATATAAAGAGTAGCACCAGTGTTAACACATTTAGAATGAACACATTTGAATTTAACACATCCTTTTATTTTGTGAAGGTTCTTACCCCAAATCGAAACCTCCGTCGTTACTGTCACTGCAACGGATTCCTAGTCAACCTCCACCTTTAGGACCCTACAGTGGCCCTCATGCACCACGTGCTCCTCTTCTACAAAATCCACCCCTGTACCACACAGGCACCAGGGGGCTCCATGGTATAAGGGGACCCTCCCCTGTCACGAAGAATTCCCGCCCTCCACTTCTGGCAGCTCCAGGTAGTCACTGATGAAGTTTGTCTTCACGATTGTCATAATAGGTTTTCATTGTAATGTCATTGTCTCCACATCCGACACATATTGGCCCGATATTAGCATAATTCTGTTATATCGGTAGGATTCGTTATCGGTTTTTCTTCCAATAATGAAAACAACGCAACGGCTAGGTTTAGCCAGATATGCTGGGATCGCTTTGAAAAACAGTTTTGTACAGACCATGATAACTTGCCTTCAGTGGTGCATCACAATAAAAGTAGGTGATCTCCACCACAGGAGATGTGATGTGAAAACGGCCGTATGTATCAGTATCGGTTGATATCGGAATCGGAGGCATCACAATAAAAGTAGGTGATCTCCCCCCCAAGAGAAAGTGTGACAACAAACACGATTGTACACGATGGAAGAAGAAAAAAACAGTTTGTCAGTGTGAAGGCGAATGTTTTGTCTTTGTTAACAACTGTCTGCTTTTACAGAAAACATTCAATTAACTACACTTTTTACTCCCTCCCCCACCCCTTCTCTACTGCTTTTGTCCAAAACAAGGTCCTCCTCCTCCTCTACGTCCAACAGGTCCTCAATACTAAAGAGGAAAACACCCGGAACCAGTAACAGACATAAGCTACAAGTACCAGCAGAGTGACATCAGGTCAACGCTGAGGGAGGAGCGAGGAGCGAGGAGAGGTGACTCTGGTGTCTACATCCTCCTGGGAGTAAGATCATGTTAAGGGTCTCATTACTCACTATTATCTTATTGCAGTAAATGGACTCATGTTACTCACTACTATCTTATTGCAGTAAATGGACTCATGTCAAAGACATGACCTGACAGTGTTTCATTTTGTAATTGTGCTCGCTTTGTTGATAGTGAACTTTGGTGCATACCATAATGACAGTAAAAGGTGGGTCGTAGCCCACGTCCAGCCAAACTCTGCTGGAGTTGGATCATAAGTCAGTGTCGTCCTGTACAAACGCCACTTCACGAAACGTGAAACTCCACAGATCCTTGATCGTGACTGAGGAATTCCAGAGAGTGGAAAAATTAGACTGAAGAGCGCCACCTCTTGTCCAGCTGCTGAACGTCAGTGTTTTTTCAATTCACCGACCAGTTCGTAGACATCTCAGTTTCTCGGCTGCAGCTTTGTTTTGTTTGTTTTGACAACAAAAAACCCCCAACCATTTTTGTAATTACTTGGCTGGAATGTTGCCTGGTGACCAGAGATTCCACACACGACTGTACACAGTGACAAAAGAGGGTCACGTACTGAAGACAGCAGCGGGGCGTGTGCACACGTCACTCTGGACTGGGTGATTCACCTGTGAGTAGGGATGTCCGATAATATCGGCCTGACTGATATATAGGTATAAGTTCATATCGGAATCAGGAATTAAGTGTTTGCTCCATAGCGGATATGCGCAAAGAGTTATTATCAGACATGCCTAATTTGGACTAATCAGTTCTTTAAGTTAAATGATTTGATAATGATTTATGATGTACCTCAGCTTTAAATTTCAGCTCATCCAAGTGTAGGTGTAAATATCTACTGCTTTTTCACTACATGCACTAAGAGACTACCTGTTTTTCCCATTGTTATACACAGTGTTTAATAATCGACGCTCACAGTTTAAAGGATTCTCTTCAGGAAAGAAATCCCAACATTTTCAGTTGTTGTTAAATTCAATGTTTTGATGAATTACAGGAGGACGTTTTCAAATATTTTCTTAATATGTTTCTTACTTTTCACTCTTGGCTCTTCATTCTATCACATGATGGGTTTTTTTTTTTTTTTTGTTGGAGAACAAAGGCAGTCTTGGGTGTTACCAGAACATCACCATATATTTTATGAAAGATGAGCTTGAACCTTTGTTGACGAAAGCTCTGTTAGTTTTGACCTGTTGTGTTGTTGATGTTGTTCTTGATCTTTTTCTTTTTTCTTTTTTTTTTTTTAAATAAAATCTGTTTACCTATTTCCATACAAATCTTATCGAGCTTTTCTCATTCTTTCAGGGAAGGAAAACGTTGTTTTCTGATAAATTCATATATTGTGTATTAATAATACTTGAAGATACTCGGTTTTTCTTATTAGACACTCAGACCAGAGTTTATTTCAGAGCAGTTCGGATCTCAGTTTTATTTGATGTGGAATTATTTTCAGTAAACTGTTTGGATGCTTTAATGTCAAGGATTAATTTTTTTTTTTAAATAAAGAATTATTTTGTAAATAATGTTAAAGTCATGTACTACTTTTTAATGAACCTAGATTAAACTGTAAACCGTTAACAATGGTGTGATGTGGTTTTGTTCTCACCTTGATCTTTTGAAGTTTGTATAACTTGCCTCTTGAAATACCAGACAAAGAAGAGGCTGCACTGAGGAGAGCGTGTGCTTGTATGTGTGTGTGTGTGCGTGTGCATGCAACAGTCAGACATCGACTGTTCTTAATGTTAGAGAAGACACACCACAACCTGTTCCACTAATAACATCACATATTAGTGAAACAAGTTGTGCCGGCTGTCACAGCCTACAACTAATTGACCTTTTACAAACCTGTCTTCTACTGCAGTGGTCTGACCTATGGACCAGAACCGGTCCCCAGACCGGGGCTTTGGGGACCCCTGTTCGACTGTACCTACACCTGATGATGACCTGCTGCAGGGAGGAACTAATAACCTTCATATTATTATATAACAGTTAAAACAAATGATCATGTAGAACTAGTCCAGTCCTGGAGGATAGAAAAAGTGTACAAAGTCAGCTAATGTTACTCTCTACAGATTTATACAGATACTAGAGTTTTTATCCAATTATATTTCAGCTTCGTGTTGCTAGGGTGAAGGAAATCTGCCATTAGAACGAGTGCCTAAAGTAAATGACAACGAGAGTGCGTTCTTAACCAATCAGAGGTGGTCACACCGAGGCCATCTAGCAGACGTTACGTTATTTTGAATGGCCAGGGAATCGAATAAACTGCTCCTTCAGCGACTTAGACACGGGGGAATTAAGTTTCCTCTGTGTCCACTGCTCGGACATTATCAGCGTAAAGCGAATTAAAACTTGTGCCATAAATAGGACCGAACAGACTGGACTTTAGCATGGATGCTAATCTGTACAACAGAGTAATCGAAAAAAAATCCTACCGAAAGAGGAGGGCGGGTTTTCTGTACGTGTACTGTAAGTAATCAAACATTTCGGTGAGTAAAATGTATTTTGTCTTTTTAATAATACTGTAATTGTATTGTTTTATTATTGATACTTTGAAATTAAATGTATTGTGCTTCGTGGGTTTGTCGCTAAAGTTATGGCGCCGTTATAGCTAAATGAGTTAGCGTGGCTCAGCAACGGCTGGGCTAGAAAGAGCACTAGGCATTTTAAATGTTTTGATGAACATTTAAAAAAATGAACAATCGCTTATTTTGAATCTGGGTTTGTTCAGAAGGCACTAAAATATGTCACATATAAAATAAAAATCATTATATTTCCGCACTCATCTCGCTACGAAACGAGTTTCGCGGGCGTTGGAAACAGCGGCCAATCAGTGCAGTAGCGCAATTAGTTGCTATCTGGGAATTTCTCTCCAGAGAACCGTGTATCTACGCAATTCATATTTACTGTAAGCTAATTAAAGTATAGGGATGAGTGCAGCACAAATTTAATATTGACCTTTAGTAAAAAATGCAGTTATTTTTCAAACTTTGAATTCCGGTGCTTTAATCAAAGGTTGTCCATCAAAATGATAAGAATAAAATATATTTCAGGTCAAAAATCGAGTTATCAAATACTTGACTTTTTTCTACTTAGTCCCATCTTATTTTTTTAAAAACAAAAACTTCTTTTAGCCTTACCTTCACTATTAGATGAAGTCCATGGTTGTATCTCTCGGTTTCCCCTCACCTTAGCATTGTGGACGCTAATGTTTAAAATCCGTTGATTATCCAATGCCAAATCGATCCTTGAATTTCCAAAAGTTTTTAAAGAAATCTGGCTTTGAATGTGTGTGGCTGATCTTTCATTTCTACTGAGGCTTCTTTGCAAGATTTTCAGGTCACAGGATCCCGCGTTAGTCCAGACGTTATCACACGATGAGAATAAAAGGTAAGGAAAGCAGTAAAGGCAAACCTTTTAGCTCCGGTGTTGGTCTTCCATCACTTATTATCTTCTGTTTGGACCGGAAGTCCAGTTTTGAGAAATGTTTCCCTCTTGAAATACAATCCATAGTGAGTCGGATCAGGCAGAGCATAGAAAACGCTGTTCTTGACCTACTGGCTCTAGCTTGGCACTGACTTTCAATTGTATATTATAAGATGTATGTTTATTGGTTTTACTGAACCTAAACTGTGATTTTCCTGTCAACAAACGCTTGACGTTGCAAGTTTTGAACACTAGATGGTGACACAGGCCACCTTTTCCCTCCTCCCGCTCAAACTCAAAACGGACAACTGTCTTTATAGTTTAAGTTAATTGTTAACTTTGAATAAACCATAGGTGTGAATGTGAGTGTGATCGATTTTTGTTTTCCATGTGCCAACCTGTGATGGACTGGAGAACTGTCCACGGTGTAAATCTTCAGCACTTTCATCCATTGACTGCTGGGATTGGCTCAAACCTCCAGTTATTATGATTAGTCACAATTAAAATTCATCAAGATTAACAGACATCTATGAATGTGACATAAATAAGCATGTTTTTCCTGTGTGTGAGACCAATAACGGCAGGTAGATGTCAGTGTTTCACACCTGTTTTTATCAACAACAAATCTAAATGATGCAATTATTGATTAAAAAAATGTCAAGAAAAAAACCCCCAGAACATTCATAGACTTGGTCTATTTTAGTGACTTAAATCTGATTCATCTTCACAAATTAATTAATAGCTAATTAATTAGCAGAGAATAATCAGCGAATAATTAATTGACTTACGTAGCTTCAAAAGCCCTCATTTTAAGATTTTCCAAAACTTAATTAAACACTTCCTTTGGTTTTCCTTACAATAAAAAGTATTTTAAGTCTTAACCTGGTTGAACCGATTAAGAATAAAATCCTGAGTGGAAAGAGACAATAAAAAGTATTAAGAATAAAATCCTGAGTGGAAAGAAGGGGCAATAAAATATTTGATGACCCTGATGGTCACGTTGGAGTGACAACAAACAACAGGTTAGTTCAGAGTTTCTGGATAACAGACCTTCAGAGGATAACAGAGGACTTTCAATCACCTGGAGTTTAGATCCACTCCTCCTCTCATCTCTACATTCTTCCATCCTCCCCTCCACCTCCCCACCCTACCAGAACTGATCCTGCTGTTTTCCCACCTCTGACTGAACCCCCACCCCACCATCATAACTCCTCCACCTTTGTGTCTGCTGTAATGTCACTTTTTTGTCATTTGCATAGTCTTTGTGGCACTGGAGTCATTCCAGCCAAAAAAAAAAAAGGTGAAACACACACCCTTCCACAAAGCCCGCACCCCCGTCTTTCCTCTTTTGCACCGCCTCCGCCCCCTGTTGCTCTCCCTCCCTTTCTTTACCTATCATCATCTCATCCTCGTCTCCTCGTTGCCCCCTGCCCGGCTCAATCTCGCCCTCCTCGTCCTCAGCTCTCCACTGGATATCAATCAGATTCTATCACTCCAACTAGTCCTGCTGCTGTTGTGTCAGAATTCACAGGAACTTCATCAGATGGGGAACTGTTTCATTGTTACACAGAACCCTGACTGTGTGTGTGTGTGTGTGTGTGTGCCTGCCTGGTAGGCCTGCGTGATAGAATTAATGGAAT